CAAAACATAGTTTGACTAATTTGTCTTTATCATCCTGTTTCATTCAGGCTTTACTATGAAAGTTGTAAAATTATATATATATATATGTGTATGTATATATATATATGTGTGTGTATGTATATGTAGATAGATAGATAGATAGATAGATAGATAGATAGATAGATAGATAGATAGATAGATAGATAGATAGATAGATAGATAGATAGATAGATAGATAGATAGATAGATAGATAGATAGATAGATATCATTATAGGAGGTAAATTGGTAAAGAAAAAAAGCATGGAGGCATTTTTGCAGGTTTTAAATGCATAAACATGAGTCCTGATAGTGCGATTGCTTTGAAAAAAAAATTTTTTTTTTTTTTAAACCTATGCACATGAAATAATCTCATTTAGTTCTTAGACAATTATCTTTTCTAAAAGAGAGATAAGTATTCATTTTTGACCATTTTAGGGAAGTTGAGCAGTTTTTAATCCTTTATATTTCAAGTTATTTTAACTCACCTTCAAAGGATTTAATCTGGACTTTTGCTCAGAAGCAAAGGATTACACGAAGTTGCTCAGGTTTTGAACTCCTCAAGTAGAGGAGTTCAAGTATCTTGGGGTCTTGTTCACAAATGAGGGAAAAATGGAACGTGAGATCGATAGGCGGATAGGTGCAGCATCTGCAGTGACGCAGGCGCTGTACAGGTCTGTCGTGGTGAAGAGAGAGCTGAGTCAAAAGTGAAGCTCTCAATTTACCGATGGATCTACGTTCCTACCCTCATCCATGGTCATGAGCTTTGGGTTGTGACCGAAAGAACGAGATCTCGGATACTAGCAGCTGAAATGAGTTTTCTCCACAGGGTGTCTGGGCTCTCCCTTAGAGACAGGGTGAGAAGCTCGACCATCCGAGAGGGACTCAGAGTAGAGCCGATGCTTCTCCACGTCGAGAGGAGCCAGTTGAGGTGGCTCGGGCATCTGTTTAGGATGCCTCCTGGACGCCTCCCTGGTGAGGTTTTCCGGACACGCCCCACCGGGAGGAGACCCAGAGGAAGACCCAGGACACGCTGGAGGGACTATGTTTCTTGGCTGGCCTGGGAACGCCTCAGGATTCCCCAGGAGGAGCTGGACCAAGTGGCTGGCGAGAGGGAAGTCTGGGCCTCCCTACTTGGGCTGCTACCCCTGCGACCCGACCCTGGATAAGCGGAAGAAAATGGATGGATGGATGGATGCTCAGGTTTAGATTGAGGCGTGTCATTGTAGCCAGAGCTTTTATTCAAATGTTTCAGAACGATGTCACTGGAAAACCGAAGAGAAGCTTGGACTGCATAAAGGGAATTTCAGGCACTTCTGGATGGAATAACTACATTTGGTTAATATTTTCGGCCTGTTTTGTAACATGCATGCACAAAATGCTCCCACACTGAGCAGGGAATGTTCAACCAACTTTAGATAGCAGGTGCACATGCAAGACACAGCTCTGCTGTAACAGCCACCAGACTCTGGCTGTGCTGAACAGGTTGGTCTGACCGTCTTTATGGGATCCATTTGTTAGGCTTTTTGCTGGCTTCACTCGAGGATAAACAGCCAATGAATCCATATTGTTCTCTTCACTCTCAGGAGGTCAACAACATTTAAATGATCCCTCTGCTGCTGCTGCAGTCATGGACTGCTTTGCATGTGTCGCCACGGCAACAGTGAGTGAAATCACTGACGGATGGTTACTTCAAATCACAGGAGCTTCCTGCATGTTTGGCGTGCAGCTTCTCGCTCCTGCACAGTGGGCATCCTGATGAAACCGCTGATTAGGTTTCTTTTTTGAAGAGTCCAGCCTGCACAAACTGCTGAAACAATAAAGTGTGTGTTCATTGTGCACCGCCGTTAATGATGTGGGAAGAGAAAACCTGTTGCTCACTGCAGCGTGCAGGCACATGTTGCAGTTTGTTTGCTTTGCTGCTTTAATGAAGAAGGTGTGGTAACAGTTCAGTAGCTCAGTGTGAACCCCCCTGTCAGTCATTCTGATTGCTCTTTAACCCTCTCTCCACCGTCTTAGTCAGCACTTTAGTGTCCTGGCTGAGCTGAGAGATAAGCCACGCTGATCTAGTTGAGCTGTTGTCCTGGTTAAAGTATTACAACATGACAGGTGGATGACGCTACATGGAAAAGAAAACAAAGGAATGCAATCACACACAAAAAAAAAAATGAACTCGCTGACATTCGGCTGAGCCAAAACAGCTGTTTTACCTCTGAATATTCAGCAATAAAGTGACTCAGAGACTGAAAATCTACTTTTGAGGAGGAGCGCAGTACATTGGATTTGGCCAAAGCAGGTGAGAAACTTGCTCAGCATCTCTGACTTCATCAGAAATCTCACCTGAGTCATGCCTGCGTTTAATCTCCTGCAAACCACACCACTGGATGAGAGTGTGAGATGATTCACATGAGTCGGATTCTGACAAAAAGCTGAAACTATGATAAGTGGAAGAAGGAATGGGACAGATTCTTCATTTGATGCGCACATCTAACATGTTAGTGTTTCCTAATGGAGTCTAAAAAGAAAAGGCATCTTGCTGATAATGAGCTATTAGAAGGTGTGAGTTTTTTTTTTATTATTAATTTAACCTTTAAAGATTTATAAATGGACAAACGAGTGAACTGTGTATTGTATCTGTGTGAGCAGACAAATCTTTCCCTATAAGAACCACCAGTTGGCATCTCTCAAACCATTGCAACATGATTTCAGTTCTGGTAAATTCAAGGTTTTTGGTGACAGCGAGAGCAAACAGTACGTTGTTACTGAGGCTCTCGATCATATCTGATGAAAGAGGCCAGGAAATTGAAGAAGCAGCAGAGGACAATATGAATCTTGTGATCCGAACCAAGAGACAATGTGAGACAATCCAGTGATGAGGAGGAGGGTCCTGCTGTTGCATTTGGTTCCACAAAAAATAAACAGATATAAGTTTGTACTTTTTTTATAGGAATATAAATGGATCCAAATATTAAATATCACATATTTTGGGGAAGTCATTTTTGACTTGGAACAAGAAATGACGATTACTATTTCCCTAACATTTTTTTTTAAATTACGAGAAGAATAAAAGAAAATGGCGCCTGACAAAGGATGTTTATTATATTTACTGTCATCTTTGTTGAGGTTTTGATTTAGCTCTTCATCTTGCTGCACTTTTATTGACCCTTTGTCACTCTGAACTGCCTAAAATCACTCTTTAAAAAAATGTGTTGTCTTATTAACACGCCAAAACATTCTAATGTCCTTTTTAGTGACTATTATGTAACATTCGCAGCAACAAAATACGATTCTAGCCATATAAAGTGGAAGTTTTATTTATCAGCGTATTTATTTATGTTGATGTCACTGGTTTTCACGTAAGAAAAATTGTGTTTACGCTCTCCTGGTTCAGATTTATCCGGCGGTACCTGAAGGCAGCATTAGGCACGAGTGGTCTTGCGTCACCAGCACCTGTCGTCACGGCCAGGTAAGCCTCTTCCCAGCCTGTGTAGGACATAATTCCTGAATCTGATTTCTTATGAAGTGTGATGGACGCACGAGCTGCGCGTCAGCCGCTGACCCGCTCACCTGCAGCTGCCCCCCCCCCCCCGCCCCCCCCCCCCCCCCCCCCCCACACACACACACACACTCCTTTTGTTGTTGCTCAGCTCTTCTTCATGTCTCCCACTGAAAAGACGAGCAGTGAACTTGTACACCACTGACGCTGAAGGCTGCGGATCAAATCACATTAGGACTCTAATTGAACTGATTTGATTTCCCCCCAAAGCAATTAGGCTGAAACTGTGTCGCTTAGCAACACAGTTCTGCTCCAAAGCTGCGCCTCTGGCTGATTGGAAACATTAATCATGAATTAATATCAGATTTATTGACCAGCTGGGTGATTTCTTCCTCTGGAAACCAATAAAACCAGCGCAGCTCTGAGGGAGTTCAGTGTCTAAAGCTGAAACGGCTCAAATTAAAGTTCTGCTTAGACACAACCCAAAGTGGTATCATATCACGTGCGTTTGTTTACCTAATAGCCAAAGTGGCTAATAGGTCAAATGCTGAACTTTTTGTAAAATCCGCATGCGCACCTGACAACACATATTATTTATGACACTTACTCCATATTTGGCTTTTTTTTTTTCGGGTTTACCAACAGATTTGTTCCTATTTTCTCTCCCTTTATCCAGATCCATACACAGAATGTAACCCCATCACTTCATGGGTTTTGGCACATTTTCTTTTTTTTGTTTTGTTTACTTTGAGTGTGGACCTGCATTTCAGAGTCACATGAATATTTCTGGAAAACTACTGCAGTTAACTCTTTCAACCTGCAGGATTTGAACCTTTTTTTATGTTTCATGAGTTCTTTTAGCTCTTGAAAGACACAGCTGGAGTATACTGTCTGTCTGTGTGATGTGTTTGGAGCCTGCGGCTCCTCGGCAGGTGATCACCTCTTAACAAAACCAGCGCATCATTTTCCCCTGTAGCTCTTTTTGAAATAAAAAAAAGAAACTTTTATTTCACAGGAGTGACTCTTCCTGGTCCAACCTGCGCACAGAGCAGCTTCAGGAGCTCTGCGCAGTTCAAGTGATCCACATTCAAACAGGAACCGCAGCGGATCGGATTACACTTAATTGGACGTTTTATGTCACGCAGCTCACTTTCCGGGCTCAGTGCCGTTGTTTATTTATTTGTTTGTTTATTTTTATATTAAGAGATTTGCGTCCGAATTACAACTATAGCCCACATCAGCCTCCTGTCGTGATGACCCGATCAGAGCGTCCACGCGGCGCGCGCAGCTCCGATTGGTGCCAACTCTCCAAAATTACGCACAAAATTAACACTGCGTGTCGGATCATTCGGAATGCGCACGAGGGCTGGTGGAGTCTGGTTGCACGCGCGCTGTCCACATTAAAATGCATTTAAACGTGACTGTTGTTCCGCTGTAAACCGGACCTGTTGTGAGATCCAGTCCGGAGCACAGCTCTGCGAGGGGAGGGAATCCCTCCAGAATCTGACGCTTCCTTTTTTACCAAGGAAACCCACACGCGCTCTCTGACGCAACTGCCCATTTTAGGAAACGTGCGTCAACGGGCCGAAGACAGTGAGACAAAATGGTGAACTCCGGAGCGCGTGACGTCCCTTTAGCCTAAAACAGAAAAACGAGCTTCCACAGAGAGTTGTCTCCGCTTCCTCTCCAGTTCAGAGCGTTTTCAGCGCGCGGCTGTGCTGTGGTGGTCGCCGCGGATCCCTCCGTCCTTATCCAGAAGCGACCCCTCCCTGAGTGGATCTGCACCGCCCAGGCGTGACGTGGGCTGTTTCGTTGGTGTTGAAAAGCCGTCGCGCTTCTTCATAGTGCCATTGAAGTGAGTCATCTCTAGGAAGTGGAGGTAAAAAAAAAAAAAAGCAAAAAAAATTAAAAAATAAAAAAACGAGGGGGGAAAGAAAGAAAGAAAGAAAGAAAAAGTTCGAAGTGTTCCGTGAGCAGCAAGAGTTCAGAGCAGAGAGTTGTTGGGAAAAGGCGGCGGAAAATATTGAAAAGGTTCAAAACGGAGGAGGTTTTGAAGCGAACTGAACCTGCGTGAGTCACTCGGACTGCAGCTGATCTGAAGTTCAAGTTGGCGCACCTGACAGGATCTTTGTAGCTTTACGCGCGGATCAGAATAAGAAAAAGCACAAGAAGAAACTAAGACCAACTACAAAAATATTGCAATATAATGTTCTAGAGATCTGAAACGCCTTTTTTTTATTTGCACTTTACCAGCTTGGATATCTCAATAAACGACTCAGATCAGGGGATTTTTATTTTTTATTTTTCTGTTGGTGCCTTTTCACTGAGAGGGAGAGGAAGGAAAAAAAAGGAGGCTCCAGAGCTCAACCAGTCCACTGAAATCTTCCTCTGTCCCGGATCATGTACCAGGACTACTCCGGGAACTACGACACGTCGTCCCGCGGCAGCAGCACCTCTCCTGCCCAGCCAGAGTCCTTCACAAGCGGCAGCAGCACGATCGGAAGTCCGATCTCTACCTCCAGCTACCAGGTAACACACGGCGAGCTGGAGCTGACTTACCTGCTGGGTGAATGTGAACATGTCTGCTCTTTGAGGCGCACAGTCCTCCACAAGTGAGGAATCCGTAGCTGTCCAAACCCAAACACAGCTGGTGACTCAACAGATGCGAGGCTTTTATTATTTTTTTTTTTTTATTTATGCACAGCCATCTCACACTGTTAGTTTAAATTCGATCACGCAGCTTATGTGAAATGTGTGGAAAATGTCTCCAACGCATGGATATATAGTGAAAATGTTGGATTTTACGCACACATGCGCAAAAAAAAACAAAAAAAAACGCACAACAAATTTTCCACATGGTTTCTATTTAGTGTTTGCAGTTCGACAAGCAGCACATGGACATGAGCCTCTGATGTCCAGATGTGACATTTAGATACTCCAGTTGTTTCTTCCCGTCCGTAAATCTGCACCATTTGCGCTCATGAGACTCGTTTTTACGCAAATGTCTGCACCGCTGGGGTAAATCTAGCCCCTGTAGGGACCCTGAGCTGTGTAGCTTTAAATAAGCAGGAGGTGAAGGACGCAACAGGCTTGTCTCCAGCCTGCTGCCTCCATGTAAACACAGTCGGTATGTCGGAGACCTCTGCACCAGCAGTTTTTATCCACCGAAAGATGCGCTCATATATTTATTGGGAATATCAGGTCACATAATAAAAAGGGTCTAATTTATTCGGACGGCTCTCGGACCGCACATGGCACATTTCCTCCAGCAGGAAGCGCGCTCAGCCCGAGAACAAGACGATCTAAAACAAACACTTCCTCACCGAGGAAATGCCATAAAGGGGGGACTACTTGTTATCAAAGCCTCCACTATTATCAGGAGTCACACATTCCTGATGTTCACGTGAACTGTAGGAGTGTAATACCATGACGACGGCGTGTCTGTATATCCCATAATGTAGGATCTAAGTGCGGGAAGAGACGCGCAGTTTCCACACACCCTGTCTCAGCGCGCTTCTGTGGAAAAGCGTCGTCAGGCTCACGCAGCGTTACTGTAAACGACTTTTGGCCCCTATCTGTGACTGCTTCGGGTTCTTGTAATCACTCACTGCCTGTTTTCCATTACAGCACGACGGAACATGACCTCCTATTACTCAAATACCACTTTATTAGACCAGTAGGATATTAATGACTCCATTTTCATGCTCCTCTGCGTAAAGTTTATCCTGGCGCGTTTTCTTGTTTATTACTCTTTCTGAGTTCTCTCACAACATTTTGGATAGCAGCCTCAGCTCCTCTCCCCCACCTCTTTACTGGAACTCAGCGAGACACATGTGCTGGACAAATCCCATACACAATGACTCACCAGATAAACAAAGTTCCAATTGACTGCCGGGACATCCGACGGAAAGTCGGGAATAACCGGGACGTGCGTAATTTACGCACACAGGCAGGCGGACATGCAGCTCCATATGTGGACACCAGAAACATGATGCAACACTGATCTGACATCAGTTCTCTGCTCAGAAATATTTTTAGTCGGTGGTGCTCAGAAACTCCATCTGTTTTTGTTCAAAATCTAAAGTTTCATGAAATGGATCCGCTCTGGTTCACCTCATTTATGAGAATTTCACACATCTTTCCAGTTATTAAAAATTTCCATAGAGAGAGGTTGTTATTTCATAAAAATCTTTAATTCAATTTAAAATCTGTACGCAAACTGACACGTTTCCAGTCCAGATGAGTAACGATTCAGTCTGTCTGGAGCTTTGTGTAGTAAAATGAGATGAACTGGACACCTTGGGCTTTCCCACATGATTCACAGCATGTATCACTGTTCCACTCCAGGGGTTACCATCTTAGATTGAATCATTACTATAAAGCTTTAAATATGAAAAATGTGTGATGTTTGGTGGGTAGTGGTGGAGGCGACACTGCTTTTGTGTTGTGAGGGACAGAGAAATAAGATGCTTAGAGGATTAAAGTGCACATCGTGGTTCATCCACGTGCAGCTGCCCACCCTCACTTCTTCTGAAGAGTTTTCTTCTCATCGCCCTTCTCTTTGCAGAAATACAGGGTTGACATGCCCGGCTCCAACAGTGCCTTCATCCCCACAATCAATGCAATCACAACCAGCCAAGACCTGCAGTGGATGGTACAGCCAACAGTCATCACCTCCATGTCCAACCCCTACACCCGCTCTCATCCCTACGGCCATCACCTGACCAACGGGCCGGGGCTGCTGGCGCACAACACGCTGGCTCGGCCCGGGGTCATCCGCTCCATCGGAGATGCCAGAGGCAGACGCAAAAGAGACGAACAGGTGAGCGAACTCTGGAAGAGTTATTCGATTCAGTTTATTTGTAAAGCACCAAGTCACAACAGAAGTCGTCTCGGGGCACTGCACAAAAAACATGGATTAAAAAAGCCAGTTTGTAAAAGTTATCTATCTGAGGAAGCAGCAGATTGCGTTGAATCCTCAATTCATCACAGTAGCCGTCCTGAGCAAGCACAGAGGCAACAGTGGGAAAGAAAAACTCCCTTTGAACAGGAAGAAACCTCCAGCAGAACCAGGCTCGGGACGAGCGGCCATCTGCTTCCTTATTAGTGCATGTATCCTCTACCAAACAGCTTGTTTGATTTGTTTTCCTCTCCTGCCCACAGCTTACCCCAGAAGAAGAGGAGAAAAGAAGGGTAAGGCGCGAGAGGAACAAGTTAGCCGCAGCCAAGTGCCGCAACCGCCGCCGAGAGCTCACAGAGATGCTGCAAGGGGTGAGTCGAATAAAAGAGCCCGAAGCCTTTGCCAGCTCTATTCTTGCACTTGCATCATCAATCTTTTGCTGACAATTTCAAAAGAAACGGAGCACAAGCAGATGAAAAAGTCATCTTGTTCCAAAGCGTGTCAGGAGCCCAGATTTCTGATGGAAACATTCAAATCCACTCCTGCACTTTCCAGCCTGACTGGACTGGTTTGACTTTTAAGTGCGAGGTCTGAGCGAAGCGATGACAGGCGCTGAAAAGCTTTTTGTTTCAGGCAGCTGCAGACAGAGGTTGGGCTGTCTCACGGCTCACGGCTCGCAGACAGTAACGACAGCTAAATGGACTAATTAGTGGAATTACAGTGAGGGTGAGCTTGTCAGACCAGAAAAAAAAAAAAAAAAAAAAAAACCTGCAAAGAAAATGGCTGTAGGCAGCTGTCTTCATGAATGTGGGACGTTTTGTAAAAAATGATAAGAAGCCATTTGCTTGTGGAGACAAATACAGTCACACCAAAACAAATATTTCCAAAAATACCTTCCTTCCTCACCTAATGTCATCATTTTTTTATTTATTTTTTTAAAAAGCACTGCTTTCCAGTTAAATCCAGGTGAAATGTGTATTCTTCCTTTTTAAACTGGGACGCCCAGGTCACGCCTCTTTGCTCATTTCCAACAACTTCCTCAAACCTTTACCCTCAAGTCAAAGTTCTTCGACAACACGTCAGCTTTATCTCCTCTGCCTGACAAATGTAGTTTTATTCTGCTTATCTCATTTATTTAACACTTTGAAGATGTGCTGGATCTGAGACAAAAACAACACACGGTCATGAGGAAACTAGCAAATTCAAGATGACAGATTAGAGATTACATGTATGGATTTTAAAAAATTATTATTTCCAAATTTAACATGAAACAAAAGTAATTAAACACCGCCATCTTTTGGATCTCTGGGGAAGCACAGAGACAACCTGTTGCATGTTTCATGGATGAAACAAGAAGCTGTTATTAAATTTATTTGTCACTAAATCATTTAATTAAAAGCAGACCGCTTGTTACACAATGAATAACTAAATGCTAAAGCATAAAAGTAATAAAAAATTTGTAATAATATAAAAAAAACTCATCAAAATAATGTAAAAAAAAATAAACAAAATTTAAGTAGGAGTAAAATAATAGGCAAGGATTAATTCTAAAAAAAAAAAATCATTGTAAAACAATAAATATAAAAAAAACTAAATGCTTAGTTGTTTGTATTTAAAAAACGACTCGCTTGATTTTAAGTGTTTTAAAAGTAATCAATGCTTTTTAATTTTAAAAATGTATGTCTTTTAATTTATAAAGTAATTAAAAAAAACCAAATAATGTAATCTTTTACCTCTGTACCTGTTTTAATATGTTATTTTATGTTATTATAGTATTTTTGTTGTTCCAGAACGCACACGCTGATGAGCATCTGTTTGTTTGTTTGTTTGTTTGTTTGGAGCAGGAGACAGAGAAGCTGGAGGAGGAGAAGGCCGACCTGCAGAAGGAGATCGAGAGCCTCCAGAAAGAGAAAGACAAACTGGAGTTCATGCTGGTCGCCCATAATCCGGCGTGCAAACTCCCCATGGAGGATCGCCACCACTCGTCGGGACACCACACGCAGCAGTGCGCCCCCCTGCCTCTCACCATGCGCCCCAACGTGAGCTCACGGGCCGTGATGAACCAGGTGGTGGTGAAGCAGGAGCCCGAGGACATGGAGGACAAGGTGGGCAAATCTCAGCGCTCTGTTATCAAGCCCATCTGCCTTGGGGGCGGCGGCATCAGCGGCGGGATGTACTGCCCAGACGGAGACAGCCTGAACACGCCCGTGGTGGTGGCGTCCACCCCAGCCGCCACGCCCAACGCCCCCAGCCTCATATTCACCTACCCCAACATGATGGAGCCCGAGAGCCCGTCGCCCTCCTCCGAGTCCTGCTCCAAGGCTCACCGGCGCAGCAGCAGCAGCGGCGACCAATCCTCCGACTCCCTCAACTCGCCCACGCTCCTGGCGCTCTGAGTGTTTTTTTTATTTATTTTTTGGGGGCGGGGTGAAACAAAAAAACAAAACACTGTTGAACGCTGCCCCCTCGACCCCTTCGCCGTCTTTAAAGCACATTTTACAAGTCCAGACCAAGCTGACCGTGTGAGCCGTTCCCCCTTTGGGGAAGCAAAGGGGGGACCCAAGGGCTACGCCGCGTTTCCTCAACCCCAGCGTGACGTTTTCCTCTCGCCAACGTGCGCAGCAACTGAAAGGCATCAACTCGTCGCCATTTCAACTCCAGGGTGTCGGCCTGTTCACTGACATTTCTGAAGCAAGTCGTCCGTGTTCGTGTGACTACAACCAGAGAGCAACTTTAATATATGTATATATTTTTTTTTCTTGAAAACATCGAAATAAAAAAAGCCATGCGGTCGACTGACTCCTACACTCTGCCGATCAATAAATCACTAAGCGAGGTCGACGTTCTTGTATCGGAGGAGAGACGACGAACGAAGACTTCGTCTGATTTTTCCCCTTTTTCAGACGTCGGTGACTGATTCAGGACAGAGTGCGCACTCCTCTGGTGTTCTCCATCTCTTTCAGTGTATTTGTGGCCTGTGCTGGTTGAATTTTCTTGTCGTCTTTGAATCTGCCTGTAGAAAAGCAAAGCGATCGTTCGCAGAGAACTCCTCAGCGTCGCTCAGAATTTGAGCCAACTTTAAATCCATGACTAGCTCCTCAATATTTTCTCTTTTTGCCAGTGTGGCTTGAATTGGCGGTAATGTTGTGTGCTTTTCCCGAAGTGATTCTGTACCTGAACTCTGCAGCTTGTTTTATTTTGACCGTGTGTGTGTGATTTACATCGATGTCAGGGATTATCTCATGTGTTTAGTAGAAACCTGTTGTGACGAGTGTTGCAGGACCCGAGGTGGTGCTTTTTTGCCACGTTGTGTCAGAGCTCTGTTGTTTTGTTTTTTTTTTTATTAAAATTTTTTTTTTTTGCTCAGACATTTCAAATAGTTTGAACAAAACCCTCCTCCGCTTCATTCTCTAAACATTTTATTTCCCCAACGCCGCCTCTCTGGGGCAGATCAGGTTCCAAAAAGCCAAAAAAAAAAAAAAAAAAAAAAAACTTTTTTATGACACGTGTGATCCTGTATTTCATCAGTCTTTGTCTAAAAGAAAATAAATAAATAAATTAGGAGGGATTTGGGGCAAACTTGAAAAAAACAAAAAAGCCACGGTGGTCCAGGCCAGCTGCCAAATGATGTCAACTGTTTCTACGGTGTTTGTAAATCTGTCACTTTTAGTAAAGAAAAGATGTTTCAATCCTGCTCAGATGTGCTGATTTCCGCGGTACTGATCGGCTGAGAAGCCGGCACCGGATGCAGTTTGCTTTTCACCGAAGGGGATGAAGAAGACTTTCTGTACAGCTGGTCTGACGTGAAAGAGTGAACACTTCGACCACTTTCTGGTCTTTATTTGTACGTTAAAGGGACGAGGGTTGACGGACGCACTGAGACGGACAGAACAGCCATATCTGAGAATCTTTGTTTACTTGAGACATTCCAAATGAATTTATTGTCAGGGCTTTAAATAAATAAAAAAACTTGTCATCTTTGCTTAAATTCTATTTTTTTTTTCTTCCCAATCTGAGGAATTTGTTTTTTGTTGCGCTGGATGCAGGAATTACATTTTTGCAAGCTGCTGCTACTCGCTTGGAAAGAACATGTGGGATGTTTTTGATTTATTGTGACTCGTTGTTCAATATTTTGGTGAAAAGGGGGGAAATCTTTAATCCAGCATAACATAAAGAGATGAGTGGAGCACCAAAAATGTGTTTGTTGGAGTAAAACCCCCCGACACGCATAGGAAAGCCATTAGCTCTTCTACTGTACATGTCATCGACCATCTGTCGCCTGTTCAGCTACTTTTTCTTCTTTTTTCAGCTGCTTTAGCTGTTTAAAATGAATCAAAATGAATAAAAACAGCAATATGTATAGCAGTGTTTGTTAATTTAAAAGAGTAATAATAATAAAATAATTTTCAGCCTGGAAATTGTTTATTTTTTCATTCTTGTAAAAATATTCTTATCTTTTGCAACCGTTTTGGTTTTGTCTATTTTATACAAATTTTACTAAACAATTAAAGATAGAAGAAAACAACGTTCAATACTTTATAATCCTTTATGATTTTCCTTCTTTTTTTTTTAATATATTTTGTTGCAGATTAATTGAAAAACAGGAAAATTAGAAAATTAAAGCACAAAATCAGCAGATTATATGTGACAGTTTGTTTGTTTGTCAGTTTGATTGCTTAAAGTTAACCCTGAAGAAGTTAACATTTTTGTTTCAAGGTCAAAAAGTTTATGTAAGTTTTATTAATTAAAATATTAACGCATCAAACATTGGGGAAAAATAAAATACAGAATATTTGCCGTTCACGTCTTTATTTGAAAACATAAAAAAAAAAAAGTTTTACTCATATGTTAAAGTTTTTAAGAAAAAAGAGTGTATTGGAAATTATGCTTACGTACTCTATGATGTAAATTTAAGCCAATATAAACCAGAAAACCAACAAATTAGACACTTTAAAAATTGTTTATTCTTACTTTGACAAAATATCTGCAAGTCGACAAAAGAAAGTGAAGTTCTGAGACAATACTGAATATTTTGCTCATTTTTCCTTCAGTGCCTGAGAAACAATATATTTTGAAAATTGTCTGGACAACTTGAAATTCCTCTGACCTGATGAGAAGCAAAGACATAAGAAAATATGTGAGTAATTTAGATAATAAAGTCCAAGGTAACACATCTTGGTAGTAGGTCCACACAGCAGGACACACCAAAAAAAAAAAAGGATCAACTGAAGACCCCAAGCTTCAAATATTGAGAGATTAATTAATTGAGACAAAGCAGACGTGCAGAACAGCACACACCTTCAACAACACTGATAAAAACAGCTTATTTAACAAATCTGATCAAAATTAGTTTAGCTGATAAAATGTTAAGTTGATATTTCTGTGTGAGCTTGGTCTGGTGGTTCTAATTTATGAATTATTTTATTCTTCATGTGAATCAGAGAAGCTTCTTAACATCCTGTTGATGTTCCATCAGTGAAGTTTACTGCAGGACTGTTGGGTTGGACTGTTTTGACACATGAACTAATTAAAATAGTCTGAATTAGTCCCTTTAGTCACCTCACTTTTTTCCACTAAGACCAGGACTCCTGGCACAATAAACCTAACAGGCATTAAAGTTAGATGCAAAGTACACATTTTAAAATTGATTTAAAAAAAAAAACCCAAAAAAACTATTTTGACTACAAGCATTGTCAAACTGGCGGGGTTTGACTTTTAGAACCAAATAAAAATCCCTTGTTTGTGTTTGGAGTGCATGAAATGTTTGATTAATTGTAGGATTTTAAAGTTTAACAAGCCAGAAAAGACTTGAAGGTTTTTTTTTTTTTAATGAGTTTGCTGCCCTCAAGTGGTGAGTTTGCTGAATTACAGTGGAAACACGAATGCATGTTTATTCTCTTAAAGCCTTGCTGAATTTTGGTTTATGTGTTTAATAAATACATAAATAAATTCCTACATTGAGATAAGAATAAAGCTCACACCTCTTCATGTAAAGCGTCAGCTGATGTTTATTTTCCGGTGATACAGATGTATTTTAAGACAGATGTGGGTCCCTCAGTGGGACTGAATGTGTAGCTGCTGAGAGGCTGATATTGGGATAAGAGTTTTCCAAAATAAATATAATTTAATAACAAAATTTAAATGCATATACAAATAACACTTGAGTGCAATATCATGCACAATTAAAATGATAATTACCACGAGTTAAAATACTTTAATATACTACTATGCTTAATTAGTTATGTATAAGTTTCAACTAACGTACATTTTTGATTACAAGATTCAAAGAAAGAGGTGTATAGTGTTATCAGTTTTAACATTTAATTTCTTTTTAAATATCACATTTCTTTGTTTGTTAATGCATTATCAAAAATGTGAGTGCTTTTAAAAAAAAAATCTTATGATCAATAAATGAAAATATAAGTGGTCCATGCATCTTTGATTTATATGTTAAACTGTTTGTCTTCGTAACATTTAAATAAGGGATGTCCTTGTATCACCACACCCCCCAACCAACACACACTACATGAATATACCAGTAAGAAACATTGCACAAATATTAAATAATTGTAAAAATGTATATATAGTAATATATATTTGAAGAGAGAAAAGTTGGGGTGGGGGGATGACAGCACTGCACTACCTATTCAAATTTTTTTGGAGACAAACCTAAATGTTTGATCGAAGTGATGACAAATGACCATCAGGCGAGCGCGCTCAGATGCCTGCAGTCCTGCTGATGCCGTCGTTTTACTCAGAGAGAGGCAGGGGAACAAAATCACAGCCATAATGTGGCTAAGTGTAAAGGGATGTCACAGATGAGAAACTCCACGTGGCTAAAAGCTGGTTTAAATATTTATTTAATGGCTGAAGCCAGAGGCGTGTTAGCAGCTGCAGACAGCTGCTTTCTAAATGTTCTCAGCTGCCGGTGAGGCTCTGAGAAGAAACGTCTGCTTGTTAAATAAATGCAAGCACATTTCCTGATATTAATCAATGTGAGAACATTTGTTCTGACGCTTTGGTTTTATTTATCCTTCACTAAATATGAAATGTGTATTTAGTTTTTTTAAGGGTTCCATCTTAAGAATTAGTTTAT